TCAAAAGGGATCAGTTTCTTTATACTCTGCCCTTGATTTACATTACATCTGTAAAGACCTAGTCCGAGTTGTAATCCCCTTATTAACTATGACCAGGGTTGATTTGCCTAAAAATAAAAGCAAATTGTGTCAGACCCTTTCACTTTGTTTTTGATTCGGAACTACAAAATGGATTACTAAAGAAATCTTCAGAGTTCACACGGCTAGTATAGTACTGAATTTAAAATGAGAATTAAACAAGTTAAACAGGGGAGCCATGTCAACGGTTTACATTTTCCATCATGGGAGATAGGCTGAATTGCTTATGTCTTTGTATTATTTGGCTTTAGAGAGACAATGAAGCCATAGGAATTTTTCCAAGCTGTTCGGAACACTGTCCCATTCGCTATCCATCCCTCTTTGCTTTTCTTATATTCCTCTCCTAGCCTCATTCTAATTTCTCCCCTAAAAAGTGATTGCGGGGTATGGAGTTCTTCCCTGAAAGAGCTAATTCCTAACTAGAAGCTTATAGTTGTATGGGTTCTGCATATTTTAATCAAAATATTTTAAACAGTTGAACACTCCTATTTAAGGCTCTACCCCTCTACACAAAGGGTGAGCTCATAAGCAAATCTATGTAGATGTATGATAAGTGACCTGAAAAACAGGCTCTTTATGTCAGCAGCAAATGAAGGCAGAGATTAAGCAGATAGGAGTACCATTTTAATCATTATTCTTCTTAGAAGAGCGCTTCTTTTTGTATAATTTGCAATGCAAGAGTTTAAAAATAAAGTTTTCATAAAATTGTAAAGGAATATCCTTCTTTAAATTTTTTTCTCTCTTGATGAGGATCTACAGTATTTCCTTCCCCCTCCACTCCTATTCCTATGACGAATCACGGCAGTCATGCTGGGATCTCAAACAGTTTTCTATTAGGAGAACACACAGGGAAATATTGCTCTAAGGTAGATGTTCATACTCAACCTCCTGGGAGCTACCTGAAGCATTTCAGGGGAAGGCCAAATAGTAAAGATTTAGTCGCTCCTTTTGCAATGTCAATTTGAAGGTAATTATTGTGGTATTGTGGGTGATCCACCAATTAAAAGACTTATCTCAGTAAATTTACAGATAAGAGGTTTTATAATAATTAATCAAACATACACATTATTATTTCAGCTGACTCTGTATGAGGAATCTATATCCATCTGTAGTGTGTGTGTGCATGTGTGTGTTAAACTGACCTGGAAATGATGCCCGATTCACCTGTCCTCATACTTTTTTTTAGCCTAGGAGTCAAAAACATTTAAGAATGTTGAAGTCATTTGCATTTCTTTGCATCCGTTGGACAAGTGTCAACAGCTATGCTTTGTGAAAGATTTAGAACCAAGGGCTTAACAAATCATCTTAACCTCCAGCTCCCATTTCTGAGGCTTAAAGTTGTAATTGCTGAGGTTAAAATGTGCAGTCCCTAGACACATGATTCCCAAATAAATTCTCTTCTGGTCTGAATGAAGGCTACCGAGCATATTGTGAGATATTGCTTTTGCTCCATCTTTGTGCTCTTTCTGGCTCAGTTGTCCTGGGGAACAACGACAGTCCATTACCTACAGTTTATCATCCTGACAAAACGTGAGGAATGTGGATGTGAAAGCACTAACAATTCCACCCCTGGCGCTTTGTGCTTTTTTCTCTCTATATTAAAACCGACAAGATTAACCCAAACGCAAACTGTGGAGCATAGTTCAAGGGGCTATTCAATCAGTGCTGAATGTGCATTTGTTTACCTACAAAAATAAGAATTTCAGACACAATGGAAGGCAGGCTGGCTTATATATGGTATTGAATAGACTGTTTAAACAGCACTATCCATTGTAGTTTATTTTATCAATCTCTGACAGGTCCGTATTTATTCTGAGCCTGACTGTGGTGGAGCCCATGTATTATAGGTTATCTGGACATTATCCGGCCATTCTTTTCTATAAAGCCAATCAATATCAGGAATTCAGTATTATGTGGGGAAAAATGACATGGGAAAAGCAAAATGCTTTGTTAACTAACTAGTATGTGATGCATAGGAAATAGCACCCATGGATATAAGAAATGAATCCTCAACTGAAATTTTCAACACTGACTAGTGTAATTCATTCTAGAATACCATACCAATACAAACTTTTCACTCTACAGTGAAACCAATATATTTTTTAAAAAGATAACTATTTTATTTGGCAAAGAAATCATGCTTGGAAAAAACTGTTCTACTGAAATGTTAATTAGAAATTCATGAAAACCAGGTTTGCTATTCTCTCTGAGGTAAAAAAAAAAAAAAGCTTAAACAACCTAAATGGCTTCAACTGACCCACCTCTATCAGAGCCTATGGATGCAATGTTAATAATCTAACAGAGCTACTGTTTCAGTATATAGAACTTCTTCCAACTACTGCAAAAACTCTCAGGGATGGGACCAGTGGACAATGTGATTAAAGTGGTATGGAGACAGTGAATTTTACAAATGATTTTCTGGATGCTCTATCTAAACAGCTGCTGTGTGCCCCCTATGTCCACCACCTGCTAAAAAAGCTGACCCCTGAATGAAACAAATCTAATTAATGATGGTTGCTTCATTACAAATGAATTGTTCCTCAGTTCATATGAACTGACTTGAAACTTCATTGCATTTGATTATCTTCCTGCCACATCACATTGACTAATAAACTTTTCCCTGGAAATATACAGGCAACTTCCCTCAAATAAAGTGACCCCTTGACAAGAAAGGTTTTTAGTCATTCCTCCAAGAAGAAATCTTTCTGATCCTTCAGGCTAGCATTCACAGCTACATACTTTGGTAAGTAGACCTTTTCCAGGGACCAATTACCCAGTCCTCCAAGCAAGCCATTATCTTGAGAACCATAATAGAAATTCTACTCTTAAGGACCGGAGCAATCAAGCCAACAGCAACATCAGCAGTACAAGGATGCAGGCTTCTTTCTCTAAAATGCAGGCCTCCAGTAGGTCTCTAAATCTGTGGCCACAGCTGGGAAAAACAGACTAATGCTAATCATCAGGACAGTCAGTAAATAGTCACCCCTACACACATTAGGAAAAGAAATATTAATGTCTAAACTTAACATTGAAATAATTATTGCTTTACCTTTTTTTCCAAGTATGTATTTTCTAATGCTCTTCCCAGAAACACAAACTAGTGGTTAATAAAGTAAAAATACACATAGAGCTGAACGGTGGAGGGGTGAATGAGGATTTCTTGACTAGATTTAAATAAAAACATTAAGTCCTGATGGGAAAAAAGTAAACTCCAAAAGACAGCCCGTCAGTGAAAGTGCAAAGTGGAGCTGAGCAGGCAGCCTGGGGAGAGAGGTGAGGGGCTGGCACCCCAAGCATTGTGCATGGAAGAGTGACCTCTGTAGGCACAAAGCAAGCACTGGCTGGCCTCCTCGCGGCTCCCCAAGCCCGGCTCCCCGCCCGCCTAGCCTGGGCACCGGCTGCTGCGAGCAGGTCCGAGCCCGGCGCTTTCTGGCACCACCTGGTGCCTACCGATTCGGTATCAGTGTAAAGATGTTACTAACATTAATTTTTCAGCAAATACAGCATCTTACACTAAAAAAAAAAAAAAATAAAGACGTCCATACTAGATCAAGCCACATGAAAGGAGATTGCATTAAGCAATTTTTGAAACATGAACAGTGTTGTTAAGTGCCACCTAGTACCATGCATAAACTTATCGGATTTACAGCTGGGATGCTTCTGACCCTTGTAATGGGGAATTCTTGGTTAGCTTGTTGGTGAATCTGAAATTGACCACTTTTAGAGGAGTGGATATATAATTTTTAAAATTAAGATGTGATTTCTAAACCAATCTTCCATCTCTTTACGCCTAAAATTCATTAGGCCATTGCTTTTGCTTCTTATCTCAAATGCTTACTCCGGGATCCAGCCAATGTCTCCATAGTTTCCCCAAGTTTCCCAAGGCTAAAATTTCATGATTCTGTAATATATTTCTGGCTGTGATTCAAAATATATCCCAAGAATGAGGTGATATACAATACTGAGTGCACAGATGACTAATTACGAGTTATTTAGGGATGGATCGCCTTTCCTAAATTCTAAATGTAACTATGGTGCTCACATTTGAAAGTTAATTTCCACGAGGCCTGGCTTTCTCCAGGCTGCACTTTTTGATAAAAGCCAGCCGGATCTAAGGATCCCATTCTCGTCCAGGTTCCCCAAGCTTGAAGGCTTTAGCTAGGGCCTTAAGCTTTCTCAGAAAGCTTCCTTACAATTAAGTCAGCTACACGGACCGCACAGAGTTCGGGGCCATTGGTTTAAAAACCAAGGGAGAGACCGACGTGCAGAGGGTTCTCCAGGAAAGGCCAAGGCCCGATTCCCGGGCGGAGAGCAGAGGGCTCGCCTCCGGAGTTCTTCCGCGGAGCTGGCGAGCTCTCCGAGAACTGTCTGGCTGGTGAGACACCGCGGAGACGCGCTTGCTCCAGGGTGCTATAGACGGCCCTGGGACACAGGCTCCCTTCTCTGGGGTATGCCTCACTGCCCCGAGCCCCGTCCCCGCCCGCCCCCGGTCTCAGGCCGTGCTCCTCGGGGGTGCAGCATCCCCTCCTCTCTCCAGAGCCCGGCAGCCCCTACGCGCCTGCCTGCCCCGTTTGTGCCCTTGTTCTCCATCCTCCAGAAGAAATAAGGGTCAGACATTGCCATCAGATACCTACGCGGACCAGACACCAGAGCCTCCAGGGGCTTTTTAGCGTCGGTGAGCTCAAGGGGGAAGGGAGGTGGGGGTGGTGCTCCTTCGGGCTGGCGCTCCCGCTGGAAGGCCGAGCCAGAAGACTCTACCAAGTGTAATGTGGCGTGGACCGGGGACGGGGATCTAGGAAGGGAGCGGGTAATACCGAGATTCCATAATCAGGCTCTGAGTTTCCACGGCCCAACCCTTCCTCCCGTACGAACCGCGCGGCACCGCAGACCCGGGTGTGAGGGTGATTGCGGATACCACTTACTTGGAGTTCGAGGAATTCCAGTAGATGGGCTCTAAAACTATCGATCTGGAAATCGCACTTCTGCATAAAACCATCAAAACTCCCCAGCAGTACTTCCACACGGAGTCTCTCCTCGCAGCCATGGCCAAAACGCTTCCAGCCCCGCGCACTCGGGGCGGCGGAGGGACGGGGCGCGGGCCGGAAGCCCCAATCCTCCAGGAAGAAAAGGGGGAAACCGCAGGCAGCTCCGGGGCGCGCCGAGCAGCTCCAGTGGTCGCGGAAGCCAGGAGCGTTCTCTTTGGACCTCTCAGGGCGAGAGGCGGGAGCGCACACGCGGGGCGCGGCGGCGCGGCGGGCTCGGGGCTCCAGGTCGCCGCGCCGGACCCAGCTCGAACCGCCCACTCCCGTGCGGCTCCAGGGTGCCGGGAGCGGGTCTGCAGAGAGGGCGCGTGGCCGGGACACAAAAGCGGAGAGACGACTAGGCACGGGCGGCAAGCGCTGCGTCCGGAGCGGGGCCGTCCCGCACTATAGATCCAGGAGGGTGGGCAGCGGCCCGAGCGCACAGGCGCCGAGTCGACACGGTTCCATGTCCCGGAGCTCGGAGCGGTGAGGGATGTCTCTGGGAGCGCGGGAGCCTCCTTACTCCTCGCGGCTCCCAGCCTGCAGAGCAGGCAGGCTTGTCTCGGTCCTAGCCACGGGCGCCGGACGCGCGCGAGCCTTTGTGCGCGGAAGAGGCACCAAGACCCGCTCTGCGAGCGGCTACTCTAACCAGCCGGCACCACTGCCCTTGCAGAGGAGAGTCAGCGCACCCAGCCCGCTGTCAGAGCACTATAAACGCGGGACCCCGCCCCACACAGCTCAGCCCATTGGTCCTCCGTACAGCAACCACGCGTTGGTTGGGCAGCTGCACCGTCGGTCATTCGCCCGGGTCAGACATTGGGTGCCGCTAGGCGGGGCGCCGGCTGACAGGTGAGCTCCGCCCTTGGCCCTTGGGCGGCGGCGCGAGCGTAGCTGAGGAGTCCGCGAAGGAGAGGGGCGTTTGTGCGGCGTTAGGCCCTGGAGTGGCGGGGCAGGGTTGCGGAGAGGGACCCCCGAGTAGGAAAGGGGATGGCACGATGCCACCTGTCCTCGCTCTCCGGACGCGACTTTATTGCACGGAAAGTGTCCTAACTTTGAAAGAGGGACAACGTCGAGGGCGAAACTTTCCCTGCAGAGTCAAAGGCACTGCATTTCCCAGTGTGTCTTCCTCCTTTGAATAAAATGTCCCCTCTGCACGGTTAAACTCACACCCCGCACGTGCACCCTACCAGGTCTCTTAAGTGATGGGTTTGAGACATGATTTTGGTACCAAACATCTGCTGGGGACCAACCTAAGTCAACGGAGCCAGGAGATGTAAAATGACTCCAAGGGACGAGGCGCTGGCGGGGCAGTAAATATTGAGGCGCGTGGACGTCCTGGCCCCTCAATCTTCGTGCCTTGCTTAGCACAAAGACACCACTTCTTGCCAGTGCCGCCCGCATGCCGCGGGAACTTATTCTTAATTAGCCTCCGAGACACACTCACTCTTCCCCAAGGTGACGGTGAATGTAAGGGTGACGCTATCACATAGTGCCCAAACGAAGAGGTGGCAGGATTTCTTCTTGTGTTCTTGGTGAAGTGCTTTTCCAAAGAGCAACTTGGGTGAACGCCACCTTGTCCATCGCTTCCACGGACCCACAGCGCCCACTAGCGGCCAGCTTGACATCTCTGCGAGCGAGAGCACATGGTCTACCCAACCCAGACCCAAGTCTCCCCCTCCCCCAATCTAATCACACAGAAAAGTCCAAAGGAGACTCTTAAGGGACCAGCAGCAGAACACAGCTGAAATAAGACACAGTACAAATGTACAGCTTAGTTAAAAAAAAATAAGTATGCCGTATATCCACAACATGCTTTAAAAAACCCCAAACCCCGTCTACTACAGGATTTAATGATTCAGACGTGAACCGGGCAGTATTCCTGCAATTGTATTTCTTTGCCCAAATTATTCGCTAAGCTAAATTTGAGAATTTCCTCATTTAGACACTAGTTTTCTTTTCCTGCTCTTGTTTTTTTAACAACTTTTGGAGATTTCATGGTGTATTAAGTATTCGGTTTTTGAAACAAATTAACGTACATTGTGTAAAAACTTGTGGACTACTATAAGATCGAAAAACCTTTAGGAAACACGAGGTTGTGAATACACTTACATTATTCCAAGCTGATCTTTATAAGAGAAAACTTTATATTCCTCAGTTGCAAATTTTAAATAAGCCTCCAACTTGAGGAAATAATTTTTTACAAAGACTCAAAGGCAGTAAATGATTCGAAGCCATCAGCAGATTCGCAGAGGACCAAACAAAAAAAACCTAGGAAGGGGCAGGCAATATTACTCATTAATTTCAAAGGGTTAAAAAAGTCTTAAATAAGTAAAACATTTAAGGAATTCATTTAAATTTTATTATAAAGCCAGCTTAGGGATTTTTTATAAGAACTAAAACTGAGTGTTATCTCAGTATCAAACTTACATAGTAACCTTCAAGTTGTGACCTCTCCTCTTAGCTCCTATACCCTTTTCAACTAGAGGAAACAAAGGAAATTTGCAGTGTCTTAAAATAACCATGACTTCCATTTTTAGTAAATCAGATAATTTTCATATCCACAGCATTTTACCTTGGGAAAAATATACACACATGGTAAAAATCGCTGCCTATTTTTGACCAAAAAATAAAATCCCACAAGAGATTTCTATTGTGTGGTTTTAGTATGTGAACATGCATCAACTTACTTTCAGTAAATATGTAATAATTAGCTGTTGAGACTATGTGAAAAGCATCGAGTAGCAACGTCAGGTTGCTAATGCTCCACTGCTGTTGAGTAATTTTAGTAATTCAAACCATTACCTCAATCCATATTATCATGCCAGACCAACTCCCCCACAACCCCTCCCCCCAAAAAAATGTTGTACTAGTTATGTACAAAACACAAAGTGGAATTTTAAAGCATTCCAACCCAAAAAGAATCAAGCACATTAGTCCGATATTTCTTTGTATTTGGACTTCACTTTACAATTATTGGTTACTTTTGAAAACCTGTGATATACCAGCACATAATTAACCCATCAGAAGTAAGTTTTATCACAGGAAGTTACTTTAAACTATTTCTAGAGTTCTGAAATAAGTTTCTAAAAGTCAGATTAATAAAAAATTTGGGAATTTGAGTCAATTATAAAAATTTATAACTATAAACTTAAGTAAATGTCAAGTGGTAAATGTTTAATTCCAGCTTATAAAACCAGAGAGCAAATCAACCTTACTAATATTTCTGCTGATCTTTTAATTCTGGATCATGTGCTGATCTTTAGAACTTAGGTTTCCTACATACTCCTTGAATGGTAATCTATCCATTCCAATATGTACTTCAAGAGATATCTTTAACATAACTTCTGTAAAAACAAAACCAAAGCCTTACCTAAATGTAACATTACTGAAAAAAAATTTCTGAAATTTTATGTACATGATTAAATGTTGTTCAAGCCATGAATTTTCTATGTAGCTGAGTCTCTACTAAAACTGTATTTTGTTTCCTGGCATTGCATGCAGTTTATTTCATGCAAGTCCCATTTTTAGAACCCTTCTGCAAATCACATTTTGCTCAATTTACTAGGAAGACTTTTTGAACAGGTAGAAAATAAAACCCTTTCTTAGATCAACTTAGCCACTCCTACCCTATCTATCAGCTTCTAAAATTCGGATTACACATTGAAGTGTCTTAAATCTTATTTAAGAATTTGGTAGAAGTGTTACTGCATTGTTCCCTTGATCAAACAAAAAATTCCCCCCTTTGGGAAACTTAATGACAGCTCATACCTTATAGACAACATATTCCTTATGAAACCAAAGTAACATTATTTCCCACTATAGTAGTCATTTAAATCTCGAGCCCCATCATTGCTTTTACATTATTAATGCAAAAGCAGCACATGGGGAAAGAATAGTTATTGCTCCAACTATCTTGGGCACCTGGCGTGAAACTTCATTTCCTTATTTGCAAACCAACAGGTTTAGAAGACCAACCAAACTCCAGTCACTATTCCAAATGAGCTTAGGTAGTTTGGTGGAGATACATGTGTAAATACCTAGCCATGTAGTTTTGACCCTATCACCGGATTGTAATACTTCGAATTCTCTAAAGAACATTTCCACTTTATGGACTGACACAGACATACTGTCTACTCTAAAAAGTTAAATGCTGCTCCAACAGAGGTGGCATTCCTGGCAGCAGTCATTAGATAATGGATCTCCTAAAATGGGTCTATAAAATAACTTCTGCTCCCACTTTAACCCACCTTACAGTAAGATATTCAACAGCATTTAGAACCAGCTGCAATTATATATTCTTTATGTTGTCATTTATTTAGTCCCTAGTGAAAACCTGGAAAGTGAAGGAAATAATCGTATCTAAATGTATATGAAGTACAAACCCATTTTACCCTAACACCAATAATGCCAGATTTAATCATCAACAGTACCCCAATCTTAGAAAATACACTGAGATACTATTGAACACACACACACACCTTTGCCTGAGTAATAGTGAAACTGCTGGGCTGGTGAATGTGCACTTTTTAACTTACTAGCTTCAGAGAAAGACTAAAGAAATATGTATAAAAAATGCTGCTTGAACATCCTCTCATCAACCACGGAGGACGCAGGAAAATAACCTCCCCCCCCCCCCCAAAGACTTCCAATGAAGTTCAATCACACATGCACACCCTTTTGATACTGAGTCATCTGTTTTCTCCTTCCAGTGTTTCCTAGCTGCAAATCAGTTACTCTAGTACACATACACAATATATTAGACCAGGTGACAAATCTGCTACAAAATGTGTAATGAAAACCTAAACCTTCTAGGTTACTGCACCACTAGCAATTCTGAGATTATTGACAACTTAATTTAAAATATTGGAGTAAAATAGCATAAACAACAAAATAGCAAAGGAATCAAGACAATTAATGGCAAGTTAAGTGAGAAAGTTGGACCTACTACTTAGGCTTTCAACACTCATTCTGTATTTCTAGAGTGAAGTCCTTAATTTCTTTTACTTTCAGTGGTCTTTTCAGATCTTTTCACTAATTAATAGCACTGTTATTTGAATGCATGTAAGGCTACTGGAGGGAGTGATAGGCCTCAATAATTAAGATACCCTGGTCTTCCGAATTTCTCATGGCCAAGGAATACAATACAGTCGAATGGTTCTGGGTGTAGAGGAACAAAAAACAGAACTAAAAACAGTTCTAGTTAATAATAAAAGCTTAGGAGAAATTTAAAGTGACAAATGGAGGATCATTAATATAAAATGAAGCATTAGAAATGATATAGAGTTCAATTAGCCAGAATTTTATGCTTATTTTACTTCATAAAATGAAAAAGCACAAAGCCACTGAAAATTCTTAAGGTACTGGTGGCCACACAAAAAAAGCTATGTACATATATTAGCACAAGTAAATGACTCAGTATTTTAACTGAGAGCAGAAATGGCCTAAATTGCTACATATTTATAAGGGAAACTGGAGCATTTAATCTTTCAATACAAACTCCTTCCCCTCTTCGCAAGCATTTTAAGAGTCCTCACACCAAGCTAATTTAAAGGTTGTTACACAACTGATTCAATTCTGCAAACTTCACAATCTAATTGGCAATAACTACATTATTTTAAATACTGCAATAAAAATAAACAGTCATCAGTTGAATCTATAATGCATTAAAAATAACCTAAAAATGAAATTGTGAAGAAAGGCATATTTAATAGCTAGGGAACATCTGAACTACTAACAGACTGGGAGAGAATCTGAACTTTTATAATATGCACACAAAGGCAGTGGAAACAAATAAAGAAAACAAATTACTACACACCGTTGCAGCACAGAAAAGATTGGGTGTATTTTATTAACAATTACATCCTCTTTCCTGTAGCCTGGCACAGGAACAATTTCAATATCTGATTTGGGTCTCCAACAGCAAGCAGATACTGTAATTATGTCACTAAACAACTTACTGTGATTTCACACCATATGTGGCAGTAAGGAATTTTTTAAAAATTAAAAGGCACACATAAGTTGATTTTAAATATTTTCAGTCCAGGCTACTCTTAGATACAATGTTGAGAACACTTGTATAGCAAAACAATTTTAAATAAACATTTCCGAAAACCTGAATACACAGCTTAGGAACAATGGATCTGTATCTACCAAACCCCCACCAAAAAAAAATTACATTAAAAAAACAAGTGTAAGAATCATGAAATATTTAGAGCTAACCTATATTTAGAGGTTAAAAAATAACTTATAACCAACCTATATTCTTTAGGTAAATGAAGTGAATGTTTTAGTGTAGTAAGTTACCATGTTTACTAAGAAGTCAGTTCTCACTACAGTTCATGCCTATTTAAAATTCTACCTTTAAAGATATGTAGACTGATTTTATTGTTCCTCACCACAATTAGACGTACTGAAGAGCTCAAACTAAAGCAATAGCATTTTTCTTAGCATGCATATACTAAGCATTCTACTGTTTAGTCATTTCAGTAACTTATGTTTTCACTTTTAAAGACTGATCAAACTGTCTCAAAAAATATTGGAGAACATTTTCTCTACTTTGATGTCATTTTAATGCATCTCAGATAGCATTTTTATATTCATACTCTTTTCTTTAATAAATGTTTTAATACCAGTACTTAAAAGAAACATGTAAAGACAAATGAGACAGAGTCTACTCTGTTAAGTCATCCATATCACATGCAAAAACAAACCAAAAACTTGTTTTAAGTTTAAATGTCCCCAAAATAAACGTGCAAGTACTCTACACTGAAGATGATTCAACTACCTCAGCCTTTTGTGAAAGTACAAAGCTAAGTTCTTTCTGATGGCCCACTAAGATTCTATGAATTTTAGAAACATTTTTCTGTAGTCTTTATTAAGTATTATTTATGGTGATAATATTTATATCCTAAAACAGAGGTACAGGATTGAGAATTTAAATCTTTTTCTGGGTGCTTAGTCTTTCTTAAAGATAATACTGATGTTATAATTACTGTATCAGCATAAATGAGTATTTGTAAAAATAGCCATTAAATACTAATTCACAGGTATATTTAATACACATATAAATCCTATGTTAAAAGTATAAATGAGAAGATATATATATATATATCGCATAGTTCTAGGATTTATAAATTGTTGACCATCAAAAAGTAAACCACCCTCTTTAAGACTTAACAGAACTTAAAAAAAATTGCTTCAACATATGAATTTAAGACTTACTTTATTCAGCAAAATCATTTATTTACACAATGGGGAATGCTGGTTTGATTTTTGTCAATGAAATAAAAACAAATTGAACAGAGACAATACTGAATTGTATATATTTTGTATTAGAGCTGACCAACTGTTTCCTTACCTGTATCAGGAACATCAAGAGCAACAGTATCATGAGGACACTGATTTAACAATATACCACAAAGGTTCAGCAACACCCCGGGAGCTTCCAATGCAATTACCAACTTTTTCTTTTTTTATAAATATATAAAAAAACAAAAAGTCAGCAAAACCAGCATTATGATGTAATAAACAGAGTATAACTCCGAAGTCTGTGGGGTCAGTAAAAACCTTATCAGACCATCCATACTTTATAAAATGATCTGCTCTTTTCCAGACCACTAACACAGAATTCAAACAGGTGAAAAATATATCACTTTTAGAAGACAACAATGATCTGATAAGGATTTGACTTAATGGAAGGAAGGGGAAAGAAAAGGAATTGCAGAGCATAGCCCCTATTAGAACAAGCTAACTTTCCAGATTTTCCAAATTAAAAAAAAAAAACAAAAAACAAAAACAAAAAAAACAAAAACAAAAACAAAAAGCAAAACAAAAACAACAAAAAAACACTTCAACATGAAGCTACAATACAAAGTTTTTCCATTTTTCTTTGTAAAAAGTTCAGTTTGCAATTTAATCCTGGGTTTTTAATGAGAAGGACAGTTTGGGCCTGGACTTCCCCTTGCCCAAGATAATTTTTTGTTCTTCTTTTTGTTGACGTTGTCGCTCTTGTTCTAGTTTCATCCTTTCCTCATGAATCTTTCTTTGTTCTTCAACAATTCTCAACTGTTCTTCAGCCTGGAAGTTAAAAAAAGTAGAAATTTTTATGAATTCATGTCTTTTATTAGTAGTACTTGGGAAATCAGGTGAGAATTCATAGTCAATAGGCACATACAATAGTATGTTTAATAAAACTTGGCCTAAAAGTACACAAAACTGAGAAGAAAAAATACTGAGAAATTAGCAAAAATATGGTTATAGAAAAAGCACTTACACATTTTGAAAATAGAAATTTCTACAAATCGTGTCTTGAGATCAGTATACATTTTGTCCCGTTATTTTTTTATAGATACCTACCTTTTTCAGTACTATCAGATTAACAGATTGTCAACTACAAACCAAGGCACAGATTTATTGAGAGTATTTTATCTACAATTATGATAACCAGATTTGTAATTAGCAAGGCATAAAAAATTATAGAAAATATCCTCACCCTACTGAAACTACATTATACTGTTAATATAAAACCAAGAAATACTACAGACTTCTTTCTTTGGAGAGGAATTAGGAAACTTTTTTGACTTGCCTGACTATAAAATTCTATCAAATTTCAAAAGGACTCATATAATTAACTCCTGAAATGAATTTAACTCCTTCAGTCTTAAGCAACCAACTTCCTTACAGAGTTCTATAGATTTCCCCTCTTTACCAAGAAAATAGAAGCCATTCTCATCATCTCTTCCTCATCAAGCCTCTCCTTGATTCCCCAAGATATCATGCCCACTTCCTTAAATCACAACCAGGTGCAACTGTACTACTGTCTCCCAGGGGACATTAGGCAAATGTGTGGTGGCAATTTTGATTATCACAACTAGGGGAATGGATCCAGGCATCTGGCAGATAGAGGACATGAATGCTGCTGGATACCCTACAATAATGCACAGGACAACCCCACCACCTCCAAATATCTAACCTCAAATGTTAATAGTGCCAAGGAAGAGAGAACTTGCTCAAATCCTTGAATTCTTGAATTTTTAATCTCATTATCAATGAGCTGTCCTTTTCCTCCCCCAGATCTGATCTTAAAACATTCACTGTACCCTTTGAATGCCTTTCTATTACCAAACTCAAATATTAAGAAGTCATTATTTCCATCTTCACTAATTCTACTAAAGTTATTTTTCGCATGGTCAAAAACTAACATATGTTTAGTGACCGTTCTCTTTATTCTTCTGTTTATTTCAACTTGAGTCTCCTATTTGTCTCCACTGACAGGTAATGGACTCAGCATTCAACATAAAACAATTAAATTTTATCTTATGGGTAGAAAAAAAGCCCAACTTTTACATACATAATGAACAAACAGGTTTTTCCTACTTTTTGCTTTCAGATGGAGTGGTGGTGTTGATGGCTATAGACTAAAAGGTGAAAGGTAAGGAAGTAGGGGCAAATCCACGGTAATACAGGTTAAAGAGAAAGAATATCAATTAAAAACAGTGGGACCCTGGCCAGCTGGTTGGTTAGTGTCATCTCGATACACCAAGGCTGTGGTTTAAATATCTGGTCACAGCACATTCAAGTACCAACCAGTGATTTTTAATTTTTTGAAGTAACTCCACGCTGCTTTCCACAGTGGCTGCAGCAACTTGCATTCCCACCAACAGTGCATTAGGGTTCTCCTTTCTCCACATCTTCACCAACACCTGTTCCTTGATTTACTGATGATAGCCATTTTGACAGGTGTTAGGTGGTATTTCATAATGATTTTAATTTGCATTTCTCTGATGATTAATGATACTGAGCATTTTTTTCATACGTTTATTGGCCATCTGCATGTTCTCTTTGAAAAAGTGTCTATTCAGATCCTTTGCCCATTTTTTAATTGAACTTTTTTTTTGGTGTTGAGTTTTTAAGTTCTTTGTAAGTTTTGGGTATTAACCCCTTTTTAGATGTATCAGTGAATATGTTCTGCCATTCAGTGTGTTGTCTTTTCATTTTGTTGATGGTTTTCTTTGCTATGCAAAAACTTTTTAGTTCAATGTTATCCCATTTATGTTTTCTTTTGTTTCCCTTGCCAGATCCAGCAATTCCACTTCTAAGAAATTTATCCGAAGAAACCCAAAACATGAATTTGAAAGAATATATGGCCCTAGATGGTGTGGCTCAGTGGACTGAGTGCCAGTCTGTGAACCAAAGGGCCGCTGGTTCAATTCCCAGTCAGGGCACAGGCCTAAATTGCAGGCCAGATCCCCAGTAGGGAGTGCACGAGAGGCAACCACACACTGATGTTTCTTTCCCTCTCTAAAAATTAATTAATTTAAAAAATTTAAAAATAAAAAGAAAAGAAAGAATATATGCATCCCTGTGTTCAGTGCAGCATTATTTACAAGAGCCAAGAACCAAGATTTGGAAGCAGCCCAAGTATCTATCCATTAGCAAATGAATGGATAAAATAGCTATGGTACATTTACACAATGGAATACTACCGGACTATAAAAAATAAAACTTTACCCTTAATGACAGTATGGAAAGATCTGGAGAACATTATACTAAGTGAAATAAGTCTGTCAGAGAAAGAAAAGTACTGTATGATTGCACTCATGTGAAATCTAATGAACAAACTGACTAACAGACAAAATAGACACATACTCATAGACAGCAGGCTAACAACTCTGGGCATAAATTTATGAAGTTAGGGGGTTATGGAGAGATTGAACAAAAAAGAAAAAAAGGACTCATGAACATGGACAACACTATGGTCATTGTGTGGGGGAGTTTGAGTGAAAGAGAGGGTATGGGTGGCATAAATGGTAATGGAAAAAATACAATAAAAGAAACCAGTGAATGCATAAATAAGTGGACCGACAAATTTATGTCTCCCTCTCTCTCTAAAATCAATAAATTAAAAAATAAAATAGTGGGAATCTGATGGGTAGGCAAGATGGAAAAGGAGTAGATTTTCATGTATTTCTAGGTCTTCGTAGTCTTATAAGGTGGGAAATGTAACACACACACACACACACACACACACACACACACACACACACAATTATCTCTTCCTACTCAGATCTTTTTCCTAAACTGCATTTCTAGTGGGTTAATGAAAACCCACCAGGGAAAGCTCTGGATACCTTCAATACTGAACATGGTCAAGATGTAAATTCCTCTAGCCTAACACTAAAATGTATGTCTTTTCTATCTTCTCTGCTGCCACCCACATTCTATAGCTTTTTGTCTCCTCCCTCTTTCCATGACACCACCAAATAGTCTTCAAGTGTGTTGATTCTTCTATTATGTTCTTTCATCTGAAGTTTCTTTTCCATTTTCATTGCTACCACACCAGGTCAAGGTACATCTCTTACAAAGCATTACTCTCTCACGCCCTCAAACTTCCAATGATTTTCAATGTGCTCAAAATATGGCTTTATTTCCTAAATTAGCATACTATTTAGGACTTTCTATAATCTGGCTCCAACTTTGTTTCTACTCTTCTCTTTTAAATTATCTTTTCTATCTTGCCTCCCTCTCCCTCCTTTGCTCATGCCATTTTCCTCCTATTGAAATCCTACACCAAAATCGGTTTCAAATCACCACTCTCTTGCTTAGACTTTCACTGATATTTACAACAAAGAGAATTATCTGCTTCTGATCATCTTCTAGTGAAATCATATTCCAATTACTTTACCCAAAGTTTTAGTAAATCATCACACATTTGAGTTAAGAGGTTGGCATGTACAAATGAATCAAAGTATAGTAAAGACTCTGTGTGTGTGCATGAGCTTGGGAACCCTTACCAACAACACCCAAAGTCACTTTTCCCTAAAGTTCTAATTCAGCCCCTAGGACGGCAGATTAGAACCTTAGGGAATACAGGGTTTGAACATCATCACAACCTCAACCCATCAGAGAAATTTAATTACATAGCATTTTTAACCCTATTATATTGACAGAAATTCAAAGGTAAAGCCAAATGTTACTTTATGAAGAGTATTTCGGCAGTAGGTACTAAAATTGCATCTTCATAATACTTTTACCCAGAAATCTAAGTTTCTGAAATTCATTCTATAAGTGAACTTGCACACATGCAAAATTGTACAAGGTTATTAATTGCAAGCATAGTTTCTAAAGACAGAAAAGCCCTAATATTCACCAAAATGGAACTATCAATAAACTAAAGATCTATAAAACAAAATACTGTGTAGCTACTAAAAAAGAAAGGAAGAAAGGAAGAAAGAAAAGGGATCCCCTATATACTAAAACAGAAAAATCTCCAAGTTTCACTGTCAAGTGAGGAGAGCAAAGTACCAAATGTATGCGACTTTTGTGCAAAAAGGGGAAAAATAAAAATGTGTATTTGTATCTGCCTAACTATGCATTGCAAACTTTTGAAAAAACAAAACATAACTGAATATGCCTTTTAGAAATGGGAATGGGAAGTGGGTGGATAGGGAAAGAGACAGAGGGATTTCATTACTTATTTTTCTAGAAAAAAAAAACTGAATCATGTAATTCATTACCTAGTCAAAAATTAAAAACAATATTTTTAAAGTAACTTCCTTCATAAACAAAAAAATACTAATGCTATGGAACTGAAATTACCTTTAGATTGGATAAAAAGAATAAAAGTTTGTTTCATTTAGGCCTGCAAATGTAAGAAATAAAAGTATGTATGTATGTAGTGGGGGAACTTAATCTCTCTCTGACTATAGGTAACAGTGGAATCCCCAGTGTTAAACATATTCATACAGTATCTTACAAGTACTTGATAATAGAATAACTTTTATAAATAAAATGAACCAGCAAATATCCTGTCTTTATGTATAAATATTTGTATTTTGTTCTATTATAGCTTTAAATTAAGCACAAATATTATTCAATTATACCTTGGCAAACAAACAAACGAACAAATTAACAAAAAAATTAGACTACTTTAGTAAAAACCAAAGCCATCTCTCATTTTAATATAGTGGCTCTCACATGATGAAAAAATTATTTCCTGCCTATCCATCTGTGTGGTAGACTCTACCCCTTATTTGTTCGGCATTCTTCTAAACCCTATCATCCCCCTGCAGTATATG